CAGATGTTGACTCTGTACAACAGTTTTGGTGCGGTGTGGTGCTGTATTGCTGCCACCCGGTTTTCCAGGTCAGCTGAGACCTTACGAGAGCTCACATGCAATCATATCTTGACCACAAAAAATGTCTGTATCTCAGACTGAAAGCCTCCAGTGTGTAGATGCAGGGGATTATGTCAACAAGGCTATCCCACAGGGACAAAGCCGCCAGGTAATCTGATATCAATAAGCCATAACCATCCTGCCCCCAGTGACAAATGATTCATCCCTCTGAACTCATCCCTCTAGCAGTCTGATCTGTTACTTCTGATGCAGCATACCAGTGTGGAGCAAGAAACTTAAAGCCCAAACATTGTGATGTTAAGCAGATGTAATCGGTATCACATTCACCAGTTTAGCACGCTAACATTTGCTAATTAGCAAAAACATACAAAGCAGAGCTGAGGCTGATGGGAATGTCATTAGTTTTGCAGGAATTAAGTCATACACAAACATGTTGGACAAATTCCAACTTTGACCTGACTAAAGGTCGTGTGATCACCAATGTTACAGGTATTCAACAAATTTATTGGCAATCCATCCGATAGTGGTTGAGACAAACTGTTTTAACATTTATTACTTAAAACTTACTAGTCACTATTTAAAAGCTAGTACTTATTTATTGGTTACTGGTAACTATTCCATTAGCTACTATATATATAAGTATTCCCTTTTTACTAGTAACAATTGATTAGTTACTAGTACTTCATTTTTTGTTACTAGTGACTATTCCTTTAGTTACTAGTATTTATTTTTAAGTTACTAGTCACTAATTGCACATTTTTACCATTGAAATCTATGGGGCTCTGCAGTCCAGATATCACTTATACATTAGTTACTAGGAACTATTCAAATAGTTACTAGTAACTTTTTACATTTTACTAGTATCTATTATTTAGATACCAGTACCTACTCATTAGTTGCCAGTTACTAATTGAATAGTTACTAGTAACCATTTCCATTTTACTAGCGTCTATTATTTAGATACTAGAGCTTATTTTTTAGTAACCAGCAATTATTCCATTAGTTACTAGTAACTAATTATTAGGTACTAGTATCTAAATATTAGATACCAGTAAAATGAGGGTTGAAAAAAATGTTCAGAATTAGTTACTAGTAACTAATTATTAGGTACTAGTATCTAAATATTAGATACCAGTAAAATGAGGGTTGAAAAAAATGTTCAGAATTAGTTACTAGTACTAATTATTAGGTACTAGTATCTAAATAATAGATACTACTAAAATGAGGGTCGAAAAAAAATTTCAAAATTAGTTACTAGTAACTAATGGAATAGTCACTAGTAACAAAAAAAAAATTTGTACTAGCATCTAATCAACTGTTACTAGTAAAACGGGAATAGTTATTAGTAACTAATGGAATTATATAGAATAGTATTAATGAATAGAAAAAAAGTATTAGTAGCTTTTAAACGACTAGTACGTTAAATAAATGAATGTTATAACGGCTTGCCATACTGAGACAATTCACTCAAGACCACAATTTTCAATGACATTATGGAACTACAATCCATCTGATGGTTGTTGAGATTTTAGTGTACACATGTGGATAAAAAACGGAACGACACACCTGCATTGCCATCCCTAGAGCCATGCCAGACTCATTGTTAGAACTCAAACATTTTTCTGGATCAGTAAAAGAGCAGACAGATACTGTACATGTTTTTATTTCTCTTAAAAAGGAGCTCTTCTCAACATTATACAACTCCTCTTCATCGTGCTGCCTCATCATCTTCACCATCTTTTCTATGAGCCGAGCTCTATTCATTTTCTGTTCTATTTTCACAGTAACTACCGCAGCCCCCTCACTCCCTCATGCTCCCACAGCCTTCCCATCGTTCTTGCTTATCGACCTGTTTCTTCAGTCCTCCAGTGCTCTGATGTCCTGCTTTCCCTCTGCATCTCGCTTCATTCTGCTCTTCTTCTTTCCTACCTTAGATCTATTAGCCTCCTCGATGGCTCCTGCAGGTTGCTTCGGCCCGTCTGGCCTGTGTGCCCACTGCCCACTTGGGCTGGCTGAAATAAAGACTTTCCAGAGGTACATAAATACTTGTTTAGTGAGTGCTTTTCCACCAAACAGAATACTGCTACCTTTTATACGTGCTAAAAAAAAACAAGCAGCTTGTCGTGTTGTTAGTTTATAGTACCAGCATCATTTTCAACTGAAGCACTGTGTATTCGCTTGCAAACTGAACATACTTTCTTGATAAACAGTATTTCAGCATCACATATTCTGAAAGCATAGCCAAGATTTTCACAGCCTACCTGTCTGTTTCAGTGTGTTCCTGCTGTCAGATACCCACCGCAGCTTCTGCCAAAGCAACACCCCTCTAAACTGAGATGCCGTGCTGACCTGTCAGCTGTAAACATCCTGCTCTTCATCTCCACAAAATCAATTTAACCACTTACGCTAATGAAAAATGGTTCAAGACTATAGTGTACAATGAGAGAAGAAGAATTAAACAAAATGATGAAAAGATGAGAATGCAGTCTTACTGTGTTTTGCCGAGCAAAATCGAATGTCGCTGTGGTTACTACATACATCAGCTATTGACTTTACTGTAGATTTTTTATGTTTGCCAAAATGTCTCATTAGCATGCATAATTCTGCAGCTGTTAGCTCTCCTAAGGTGTAATCATAATATTTAGCAGCTTTTCACCCCTATGCGTAATTATAAACTTTGCAACTCCAAAACACACATCATATAATGTAACACTGGCTGTGCAATCAACATTCAATACAAGCTAAAAGAACTGTGCTTGCTATGAGGGGGCAACTGATCAACTGTTACATGATTCTACTAGACAAAGAGTCAAACATTTGCTGATTAGCATGAAAGACAATGTACAGTTTTGAGCTGCTGAATGAAATGTCCGGGAATTGCCAAGGTCAGTTGGAGTTACCCTCTGGAGACCATGAACATGTGTACAAAATGTCATGGTATAGTTCAGTCTGGACCAAAAGTGGAGAACCAATGAAGTGACCGACCGACATTGCCATACGTGGAGCATTTAGCATGGCTTAAGATAATACTAGTTGTGGCACCACAATGATGCAACACATAATGACCAAAAAAACAGGAAATGGTCCTGTTTTCCTGTGTCTGTTAGTGTAGTAAGGCACACAGTGTAGTGACTGTACAATGCATCGTTTCAACTGGTAATAAGATAAGAATTGTCACACCATTAAACAAGTTAGTTCAAGACTGACTCCTCTCATCAGCAGCAACACTGTTGGCTGAAATCTGGGAGAGGTCATTGCCCATGAGTGGGCAAAGAGAGCAGTGGGGAGATTATATTAAAAGTTGTGGTAAGAGTTGTGCGTGATGGCTGACCGACTGAGAAGCACTGACTCTTTACAAACACCTCTCACCAGCAGGGAGAGACAGAACACAGAGAGACACCCATGTGGGAGGGGACAGTGTGGGTGTATTTGTGTGTCTTTTTCTGCATGTTTGCACGTCCTTGTGTGCGCATGTGTGTGTGTAGCTACTGTATCAATGTGCAGCTTGTCTGTTGCCACACGGGTACACATGTCACGCAAACTGCCCGACACACCAGCTTAGATCATCATCTTGTTGAATCACCCCCGTTTGCATGTGTGAATCAGCACAGGCCACGCCATATGTTTCACTGCCTCTTCCTCTGCTGTTTAACACTAAGCCATATCCCTGACAGATGGTCCAGCTGCACTTAAGAGCACCATATTATTTTATCGCGTACAGTATAACCTGACTCTGTTACGAAGCTTTTTATCTTTTGGGAGCATGAAAATGACTTTGTTCCTGACCTGGAGATGTAATCCAAAACTGTCTGCGTGCAAGAACTATTCAATTCAGTACGGATTTTAAATCATTGTTTGAATTGTTTTTTTTGTATTTCATCCGAGAGGAGGAAAGTGTCTGCTGTTGCTTTAAGGTCCCTCTAACCAGCATGCCACTTTTACAGAATGCTCTTCCTCTGAGCCAAAATTGATTCCAAAACCTAAAGATTCCCCCCTTGAGGAAGATTCACCTTATCTACCAAAGGATGCACAGATGGAGAAAATTAAAATTAGATGGTTTATGCATCACTTGGGTGGGTCGCTACACATTGGTGGTGGCTGTGAGGTGAGTTCTCCTCCCACCTTCACTCTGAAGCACTGTGAGTACATGTGTGAGTATCTAAGATAAAGAGCTATATAAATGTAAACCATTATTATCTAGCTCGCTGTATTGCACTAATGAGATGCACTGAGTAGGACTGAACACAACTGCATTAGACTTGGATAGACTGAACTATACTGAAACACAAACACTATGTAGTATGTATTTGTACAAGATCATACTTATAAAACAGTATTTAATTTTATCTTTATTATTCATGTTTTACTGCCTCTAGCTTAGTGGGATGAATTAGGCACATTTTCAGCAGTGGTTGTTGAGCTTCTCTACTTGTTTCCAATGGGTTTGAACAGTTTCAGCAACAAAAAAAAGTTTATGTTCAAAACTGAGCTCAAAAACCCATGGAAAGCTTTCAAGAAAAGTTAGCAATTGTTGGGGATCTTACAGACAGATATTGCCATGGCAAAACAAACATATCGAGTTTAAAGGAATGGGCAGAGTACTTCAGATCAATATTCATAAAATTTTATATTTCAGATTTTGTTACTACTGTTGATTGTTATGGCTAACATGAGCATCAACAGTAAGTGACTAATTGCTCATTATGTGATAGCCAAGCAACAGCTAGATGCCTCCCACTGGCAAAACACAGCATTGTGATGGGGATAAAAACTCCTCATCCGTTAAGTCCATTGACTCAATGGCTTCATCTATGTGAAGCACCCTTCATTCAGCATTACTACAGATAAATTGTGAATGATCTTGACATTGATTCCTGGATATTCTGATGACTCTATTTTTTCAGGGCATTGCAGTAGATACATATTTCCTTTATCCCCACCTCCAGGATAGATGCCTCTTGTTCCATTTGTTCGGAGGAGCTGGGCTCCGTTTCCCACGGCCCATTGTCACCTCAGCCTCAGAAACATCTGGCAGAGAACATCTGGGTGTTTTCATTAGACCCAGTGTGGCTTGGTCTAAAGAGGGGAGGAGAAGTAATTGTGATACAGACTGACGGGGGTACATTAATTAAACCAAACACCGTAAATATAACTTTATTACTTTAGTTTTATGACAGCTGGAAAAAAAATGAACTTAACACATGCATGCAGATTGTGTTGAACACAAACACATTGTATAAAGAATGTATAAAGTGGAAGACATCCACCAATACGTCTGTTTGCAAATGACTGTTTCAGTACCTGTAATGTGTAAAGTGTATGTGCAGGATGTTATGAGTTACCTCTTAGGCCATAAATCATGCAAGGTATATATGACACCCTCTTACATGCACAGATACTCTCTCTCTCACACACACACACACACACACCCCAATGTACTCGCTCAAAACTATTCACACAGACTATCATGGTTTTTACCCTCTACAGTTTTATATGTGAGATGGAGTAGTGGTGTGTATGATGAAGAATGTTATTGTTTGTGGAAGAGAATTGTGGCGTGTGTGTGTAAGTGAGGCTGACAATATGTACTGTTTATGAGAGAGGAGAGTAGATGGCATACCAATCGATATACAGTTCTCCTGTTGTACACAGACCACTATTATAAATCACATAGCATGCAGTACTGTCATTCTACTGTGTGTGTGTTTGACAAGTATGATTTATGTTTACAGGGTGTCTCAAGGTGTGTAGACATCTGCATTATATTGCGTTATATGGTGGGGTATACCTTATATTTTCCTCCCAAGGTACACTTTACATTAGAATACAACTCACTCTTTCACTCAATGAGCATAAACTCGGCAATAGATCAAATGCTGCATTCCATTTTTATGCAGATGATACTGTCACCTATTGCTCATCTCCTTCAGTAGTACAAACCCTTGAATTCCTGCAGTCTGCCTTAGATGTTAAGTCCCATTGCAGACAAATCCAAATGCAGACATATCCAAATTCATGCTATTTTCAAATACATCTAACATCTAATCTCCCAAAGATTTCAACTGCTGTTGGTCCCCCAGATTTAGAACAGTATTAGACAAAAATAGTACACATTGTGGTCATTGTGATTGCTCCTAAATTTTCACTGGAACTCATATGAAGAAACTAGACCTAAGTGGATTTTTGTCCATTACCTGGTATTGCATTTAAATTTTTACTGCTTATGTGTTTGCCAGTTGTATTTGTATGTCTGTATGTGTTTGGATTTATTGTTGGAACAAGCAAAGTAAGCACACACATAGTACCTCCATCCATCCAAAGTAACAGCATAATCCTCCCCTTTCACCACAATCACACACAGCCACATACCAAAGACTCCGGTCTCTTTCAGCCCTCCGAACTTCTGCATGGCTTTGATGGCCTTGGTCAGGGCCTCCTTGGTCTGAAGCTGACCAGTCACTGGGTCAGGGGGCGGGAGGTAGCCAAACTTGCTTAGCCAGTCCTGGAAGGGAAACAGTAGACGCAGAGTTCAAGTGTCATTCCAAGGCATTTCAAGGACTCCAAGTATCCCTAAGCTGCCGAGAAGCTTTGACACCTGTTCATGTTTACTGTCTGTGGATACTGTGTGCCCACGAACATTGTAGTAGTAACAGTAGTAATGTGTCAGTTGTTATCTGCATTCTATTTAGGTGTTCTAGGTCCATGACCCTGGTATTGTGCACGTGTGCTCACTGCTCAAGGCTTACTGGGACACTTACACTTAAGTAGAACACAGCCATAATTAACATTATTAACACCTGTTCCTGTCCTGGTATGACATGGTAATGAAGTCTACTGTGAAGCCCTCTAATGTTATCTAACATTGTATATAAATTACACTAGGGCCTATGCTTTCAAATTACACAAAAATCATCATACACTGCTGAGAAATAAAACACTGGATTAGATTGCTATAGCATTCCATTGTAAACCTAAATTAATCATTTGGTGTAAACAAAATTTTAAAAAAAATGGAGGAAGAAACTGGTGGTGGTGTCTGTGATCTCAACAGGACTTTTAAGAGTAGACATTTTGACTTTTCATAGTCGGAAAGCACATGTGCTACAGTGCCGTTCTATCCAAGTCAAGGTTCACTAACTAAAACTGTATTGTAGGTTTGCAAAACTAACTAAAATGAAAGAGTAAATGTCTTTAGTTTTCGTTTATTTATTTATTTCATAAGCCGGACCGGCAGTTCAGTGGTGCGCGTGGTGATTAGCCGATAGCAGGTAAGTATATCCAGCTGCAGACCTGACGGAAGTTGGAAGTCCCAGAAGACGCCGCGTACAAAACGTGATGACGTTAATCTCGGCTCACCTACAGTATAGATCCTAATTCAAAATGTTTTATTCTTTAGAGGCCAACAACAGAACTTTAAATCCACTTCTGAGAAGTTTTTAGGCGAGAAATCAACTGTAGATTTCGAATATTGGCAGGTTTACGAAAATTGATGGCAAATCGAAAATGTATTCAAACGTTTTCGGAGTTGAGAAGCTCTGCAAGTGCCGACCATGGTGCCGATGGTGTCAATATTATATAGCTGCAGTACGTTACCGGAGGCTGCACAGCAACACAATGGAGACATGCATATAATCAATAACTTTAGGCACACGCCCTGTGATGGTTAAGGTAAGAGTAATATACTACTCCAGTTAGCTCCCCCAGTCCGAGTCACACAGACCACTGCAGCCAACACAGCATACGTGTCCAGCAACAGCTGAATGATACTGTTAATGTTCGTACCACTGTTATTCATCATTAAATTCTCCATAATGTGGTAAAGTTTTATTATTTTTTTATTTAACGGCTATGTGTGGGTCGAGCGGCCGAGATAAACATCATCACGTTTTGTGCGTGGTGGCTTCTGGGACAAACCATATATGGAAGTTCAACTTCCGTCACGTTTGTCTGCATGCTGCAGCTGGACCCTTCTCGATAGCAGGCACCTGTGGGTGTGTACTTTTGTCCTCCGCAGAAGAGCTGGCACGCTGCGTGTCGTGTAACTGTCCTGCCACGATTGTTTTATCCGTCAAGAGAGCCGGGGTCAGGGCGGTGTCTGGCCGCAACGTAGCAGGTGGCAACCGCTGTTACGAGGAGAGCCCCATGTAATGTTAGGGGGAGGCTAACTTAGCTGTCCATCAATTGTATTTCACCTCCATTTATTGCATTTCACCTATTTAACCAAGAATGATAGAGCCAGAGATTCTTGGTACCACTGGGTAGTAGGATTAGTGTAGCTAGCTTTTAGGGTTTAGGTTAGAAATTATACTGTAGATTGCATGTTATTTTATATATATGCACTTAGGTTTGGGCCCCTATGTAAAAGCTTCAGATAGCTTAAAAAAGGGTGTTCCTTTTCACAAATGTGCATTATTTGTAATGACTGAACTTGTTTTTAATGTTTTGTGAATAAACTAAACTGGACTGAACTAAACTGAATAGAGCTTGGCATCCTACAGTGACAAAGACAAAAACGAATGAAAACTTTACTAAAACTAAGCTGTCTCTCTCTTGCTGTCTCTTTTATCTCTGTCCTCAATCTATTTTCAGCTCTACCCCTCCATGATCTGATAGTCTGACAAGTCTGTTTTTAATGGGTTTTTGATCAACACTCATCAGAGATGAGTGACACAGATCAATAGCAAGGCAACTGTTCTCTTAGAAAAAACACTGGGGGAAATTCAATTTACTAAATATCTGACATTAGTTATTACAAAGTTGACCGACTGATATTTGCCCCTCATCAGTGGATTTGCACAGCAGACAGGAAAGTTTACAGAATGCAGATGACTCCAAGCATGATCTGGGATGATGAGAGAGAGAAACATTTCTTGAAGCAGTTTGATAATGCAGAGGGCAAAAAAAGTTTCGTCTTAATAACAGCTTGGAAAATATGAAAGTTAAAATTTTGTTGATTAATTAATGGATTAATTCTCATTGCTTTCTGCTACCAGAAGCCCTACAAAGTGTGGAGAAAAGTGTCTTCTTAAAGGTTCAGTGTGTAATATTTCTGAAGATCTATTGACAGAAATGCAATATAATATCCATAACTATGTTTTCAGTGGTGTATAAAGACCTTACATAATGAACCATTATATTTTTATTACCTTAGAATGAGCCATATTTATCTACATAACCGCGGGCACCCCCTTCTGTGGAGGACACCGTATTTTGTCGTCATGTTTCTACAATAGCCGACAACGGACAAACAGCACTACAGAGCGCGTTTCGTCATCATGCCGTTCTTCTTCTCCCTTGTATAATTCCAGCAGTGTCGACACCTGTCACTACATTAAATGCGTCCGTAGAAGAAGAACAGGAAATAATAATAATAATAATAATATACAGTCTCTGAATAGTCTTTTGGTTTATTAGAAGTAAGAAGAGAAGTGACATTTGGACAAATGAACGAGCACAAACACGTTATTTAGCACGAGAGCTGACAGCCTGTGGATCTTTATACCATGAAGCCAGAGGAGTCCGGACAGATACAAACAGCTGAGGCTATAATGTGGGACAAATGTTTTCAAAGCAGAGTTGAAGTTGTCTGTTTTCTGCTGGACAGGTAATTAACTTAAGTTTGTCAGACTTGAAAGCTGTTGTTTGATAGCTTTAGCTAGAAGCTGGCCATAATCACCCCGAGAGAGATGAGGTGTTTCCCCTGTCGTTGCAATAATTCTCCAGCCTGTGGGTTGGCTTTGCCGGTTATGTTAGCGAGACAATCAGCTGATCAGTAACGTTAATTGGCAATAAAACCGTAACGTTAGCATAGAGCATGGAAGCATCAGCCAGCTACACTTTTACTGCCCTGGAAGAAAAATCATGTAAGGTTAGTTGGATTGGTTTATTCTTCGTGAGACAATCAGCTGATCACTAATTGGCAATAAAAGAAGGCAGCTTCCAGCATCAAAGCTCACATCAGCCAGCTAAATTCGCAACTCTCACCACTAGATGTCACTATAACACACTGAACCTTTAACACTTGAAAAACACGGCATGAAAAAAACAAGGATGAAATTTTATCCAAACTCACTGGCTACTTTTTATAGTATAAAATTGGTAAAGACGATAAATGACAAGCCTTTAGCAAAAGAAAGATAATGTATGTGAGTGTACATCTGTTTTAGTGTTTAAATTATGTAAATATGTCTGTGCCCACAAATAGACAGGAATGGGGGTCTCAACATCTGGATTCAAATCTCAATGTGTATATGAGTTCTTGTTCTTGTTCGGAAATAAAATATACCTTTGTAAAAAATAATACACACAAATTATTTTAATGTCCTGATAAATGTCATGGAGACCAGCCGTTTATTTAATAATACAAATGAAGTAACTGTCTATGTGATTGTGTGCTCTAAGTCTCTGCGTACTACTTAGATAGTGGAGGAGGGCAGGTTTAAGAGTGAGATATTCTGTAAGTGTATTATCACATAGCCAGCGGTTAGAAACATAATACAAAAACCTAAAAAATTAAGAAAATGAATGATGGAAAAATGTGGTAAGACTGGAAAGAAGCAGCTGATTCTGAAGTCTGAGCAGCATCAAGGTCTCACCTTGATCCAGTTCACATGTAGTACACAGTATGTGTGGTCTTGGTCAAATGCATTGGGATTCTGGTGGAGGTTATGCTGAGCTGAGTGTTCTAGCTAAGCACTTTAAGGTTCAAAAGTCACCCGGCCCACTTTCCATTGACTGAATGATATGTCAGCATGCTGAACGTTTTGGCAGAATGTAAAAAAAATAAATAAAATGATATACAGCAATATTGATCCTAGTTGTAAAATTTCTATGTCAGTTTCTTCCCATCCACAGGGCAATAATAGCTCAGAATCAGCTGCAGGATAACACCCCTGGAGCTGCTATAGATTTAGCATCTTGCTCAAACCCAGTCTTATTATTAGGACAACATCACTTCAGCACGATGTTACAGCTAAATATTTTTTCTTTTTACTCTGCGTGGTCCAGAAAGGAAAAAATATGACATACATCAGCTACGGTCTGCATATCCAGAAAATTTCCTTAGACAAAAGTAAAATGAGAAAAATAGAAATGCTTTATACAATCACATTAGGCTCGTATGGCTCAGTGGAACAACTGAGCAATTTCTGCACACCAGCCGGTGTGGAAACCACTAAGAGAGGATCAATCAGCAGTGCTGTCTTTGTCTGTTTTAAAGTAGCAAATGGCAAAGCAATATGTGTTGCATCTTTCAAACTCTGAGGCAATTCAAAGCGCTTTACATAAAGCACAGAAATACATTTGAACATTTACAGACATATTAAATCGGAAAATAACCAGTAAGCAGAAATGAAATAGAATGAAAAACAAACTATAATGTTTAGTGCAAAATATAATGGGCAAGCAGTACCGTTTTAGTGCAGTAGCTGCATTTAAACTAAAGATCATAGCTATTTTCTCATAAAAAAAGACAACACACTCTAGGTAACAGTTGGAATTCAA